ATCATAATATATACGTGCACTCCCACACTCCATGTCATAATATATACATGCACTCCCACACTATACGTCATAATACATACGTGCACTCCCACAGCGCACGTCATAATATATACATGCACTCCCACACCACACGCCATAATATATACATACACTCCCACAATGCACGTCATAATACATATGTGCACTCCTACACTGCACATCATAGAATATACGTGCATTGCACGTCGTAACATACTCATGCACTCCCATACCACACGTTATAGAAAACAAGTACATGCCCACACCGCATGTCATCATATATGCATACATACAAGATATTTTTATCGCAATTCATATATTTTTATGCTTATAAAATATATACATTCACATCTAGCTTATGACTAGCTCATGGCGATTATATCAGTGGAAACATACTTTCTAAAATATCTTATGCATATGATAATTTATATGACTACTATTTTGCAATGAATTAAACTTATACATTAAACTACAAATTGAAGATACCAATGAAAGAACATGTTCCTTAATAATCGAGGATGCTAGCAAGCGATATTCCTATCAAATTGAGAGCATAGAGTCACGAAATGCCTTAATTAAGAACCTTACATCTTGAATTGTTGATTTATAATAATTTATTACAATAATTTATAGAAAAGTTCGATAAAATCCCTCATAAAATAAACTATACTAAACCTAAAAATTTATCTAAATTCGACCATTAAATTTTTCAATAATTCACTCTATAATCAAATGAACTAGCTAGTATCAATCAAACCATCACAAAATTCTATGAAGAAATTTTACTTCACTATTATAGTTGACCAAATGATCTTGGATTATCATGAAATTTTATAAAAAACTAGGAGATATATAAAACTAAATACACACCAAATTTCAACTTAAAACGAAATCACTTAGAGGCTAAACTGCATTCCTAATTCAATTAGTAACACCTATTCTATTTGTTGAAACTGGGTTGGGATTATTTGAACCTCATATCTTGGTGTACAGTAGTGGTATTCATTCAATTTCAAATTTCACAGAACCCGACAGGAATCTTTTAAAACATATCAAAAGGTCAGAGCCTAATCATATTCCTAAGAGGTCTAATTCAACTCAAATAGAACCCCTTCTCAGAAAATAGGGGATTCTAACTATCTCAGATTGGAACAATCATAACTCGATGCATTAGTCTTAGATTAAGGTCATGCTAGACCATAAGAGAATCATCCAAAACATACCCAAAAATTAAAGATACATTCAAAGTCTAGGTTACTCAAAAGCAGCTGAAAAGATCAGTTTATAATCTGTAAAACTGAAACCCTAGATATAGCAAGGGAAGAATTAGATTTCTCTTACCTCAATCTTCGATAGAGCTAGGGTTTCCTAGCTTCCATAAAAGAATGGTTGAAGAATGAGAGAAATGATAGTGGGTTATCCGATTGGTAAAGAGGATGAGGCTAAAATAAGGTAGAGGTGCTTAAGAGGTTGCCTTGAAGTCTAGGATTCAATCCCATTAGATCTCATTTCAAGCTTTTCTTTTCTTTTCTTGTTTTACTAAAATAATTTAATGTCGCAACAACTTTCATTAAGTTTAATTTGGTTTGACAAAGATAACATTTTTGGTTCAAACTCATCCTTCAATCTCACTTATGTATCTCAACATTTAGTATAATACTTCTCTTTGCTTTGCATCTTCATTTAACTTTTCATTACTCCATCCATGCCAAAGTAGCTTATGATCCTCCACAAACTTAATGTATAAAACTTGAACTTCCTTACGTTAATCATAGTCAAACTCATTCAAGCATTGAGATTCACTTAAGGCCTATGACTCTTGATGAGATCCTATATCAGGGACAATTATCAAGTAACTTTATGATCTATTATATGCAATGGAATACTCTTGTTTTATGGCATGATCCGGATGAATATGGTGAGTTGGCGGGGGAATACGATACACATTCCTTGCCAAAAATTGATGCTCGATGCAATAGTGTGCAATCCAAGTGGATTAGCCATTATGGTATCCCATGTACTTTAAGCAAATGATATAACACTATATTCAAAAGATTTGAGCATTTTCACTTGTTCAAAATACATGTTTAGAAGAAAACAAAAGTTCATTATGTTAATAAAAGGCAATTCATCTCAAAGACTCAAACATACTTGATTGATAAATCAATCAAACCATGTAGTAGTTTAATATTTTTACTTCTAAAAATCATTATTTCAACCAAACCATCAAGTAGTTCAAAGTTTTAGTTCAAGAATTCAATTTTTGATACCCTCGGTAAATGGTATATGAGCTAGAATGAAATATAGACATTAAATAAACATTCCTAAAGGTACTTCGGATGTCCAATTCTCAAAAAAGGCTAAGAAGATTTTGAGTCTAGATCATGATAAATATGGTACAAAGTAGAGCAAAGTAGAGCTAGGACCATAGATATATAGATTGTCAACCCAAATAGGACAATGAAAGAGAACATCGCAAAGTAGATTCGACAATGTAGAACTATGTGTCCAAAATAATGCAAATTAGGTGGTGATTCTATGATATATATATCATAGAATCACCACCTAATTTGCATTCTTAGGGGCACCTGGTTCTACATTATATATATGTATATATATATATATATATGTATATACATATATATATATATATGTATATACATATATATATATGTATATACATATATATATATGTATATATATATATACACACATAGAATCGCCACCTAATTTGCATTATTTGGGACACCTAGTTCTACATAAATACATACATACATACATACATACATACATACATACATATATGTACATGTACATGTGCATGTACATGTACATATATGTGTGTGTGTGATTGTGTGGATCTTACAAAATTGATAAAAGATTGAGTGTGAATGTAGTATTCTCAATTAGTTCACATGAGATCTTAGTTTGTAAATATTATAACCATAGTGCACTATCCAAGTGCTCTTTTTCCAAGTACAATTTGACATGGTTTCAAAACACAGACATTTTAGACATATTACAATGAGCTTTACTATTCAGTTCGACAATAATTGATAAATCATAAAAATCTAAATTAAAATAAAATTTGAAATCAATTAAAGAATAATAAATTTTGATTGGGATCATAAAGATCTAAGTAACAATAATATTCGATAATGTTTTATCATAAACATCATCACTATATAGTTTTGCTGTTCGCCTTAGTGTATTGTTACAAATCATGGGACACTAAATTCAACATGCAAAAAAGATTTATGATGGAAAAGTAAATTATGTAAAAGTTTAGATATGCCAAATCCTTTATCATTGAATAATTGCACATCATCTGACTTATTTGTAACTATTATTCAAATGATAAAATATTAGGAATAAAGCACAAAATAAGAAAAATCCAAAGACTGACTTTTGCAGGAGGGTTAAGCATATCAGAGAGATTTGTGAGATTATTAAACTCAAAATCCCTGGAAAATTAAAACAGGAAGCTTCAGCTAAAATCAGAAATTATCAACATAGAACAGTCATTTACCTTCAATAAGGTTTAACAAGATCAGACTTTTATTGCCATAAAATTCATGATTTGCCAAATGATGTATGGAACAGAACCACTCGGACTATTATTCTCAAGCAACCTGCAAAACACAATAAAATACTAATATAGTGTTTGTTACAGCACAGCAAGTCACCAAGTTGCAACACTGACTCTGCAGGATTTTAAAGTGGAGAATTAGGAACATAGCAGGAAAAAAAAAACTCTTGAGATCAATAAATAAGGAACATACCATAATGTGGTTCTATATTAATTGCCTATGTCGACGGAAGAAACTAAATTTTTTGTTATATGAGAAAAACCAATACAATAAATATCTGTCCTGAATTAACCCAAACCCCAGTCTTAAATTTCTTATATACTCAAATAAAATTCTTCTTTAAAGCCTCTGTAGATCAACTAAGAATACACAAGAGTACTGAAGTATCTTCAAAATATCTTCTTCTATACCTCTCGAACTCCTCCAACTAGTTTGAATCTAAGTACTATTACTAAACTTTGGAAGACTAACAGGAATCATATTACTCAACAAAGCAACCATTCAAAAAAAGGGAAAAAGGGATGATTTCTGGAAAAATAAGCTCAAGTGACACTTATATAAATGTTGACTATCTCACCGCATTCTCATACAAGGTGCTAAAAGAAATTAAATCAATGGTAAGATTTTTACAGTATCAGTAACAACATAGTGGGACTGCACTAATACTGAACGAACCTGAAGATGATGCATAAAAAAATTAATGACATATTTAGCATACAAGATTCTTTTGCTTTATGAACTTTTTTCGATGGATTAAAATGTAAAAAGATTAGAATAATTGGGATAAAAATAATTCCCAGTTCACGGACACAAAATCTTAACACATCAAACTGAAAACAATATAATGAACAAATAGACCCATTGAGGCTACTACCTTACAATGAAGGCGGCCAAAATGGATCACATGCATACTAATGCATCATATAAGATGCCAAAAGAACTGAAAAATTGTGCCTAATAAAACATAGAAGCTCAATGCATTTTATTTAACCAAAAACAAAATACCGAAGGGAAGCGGTGTAACTAGGGTTACGAATCTCCACTCACAGGGAGGTTGAGATAGGTAAATAGAAGGTTGAATCTATAGGAACGAAACAGTCTGAAGATTCCGAAGCAAGAAGCGGAGAAATGCGAACGATTAGGGTTTACGAGAGGAAAAACTCATCGGAATAAAAAACAAGATAACAAATCGATTCTCTAACAGCCTCCAAATCAAAATCCATCGAGATTGTACCTTTACAAGCCGACTCGGACACTTGGACACGGCGATCAAGCAGGAATGGCCGTATGTTCCGTAAGACGAGAGCGCGCTTGTAGGCGAGCACGGAACAACGGCGCTCCAACAATGCCTATCTGAGATCGTCTACTTTGTGAAACTATCCCGGTAATTAGACCATGACGCCATAAGTGAGCCGGCCCAACTCCTTGATGGTATCGAGGACGCGCTTGTTTGCCTCGGGGGAGGAGGCTTAATTGCGCGTAAGAAATATTAAAAATATATCACGTGGACGGGTGGGACGGGTCACACGTGGATTGCCGATCACACTTAAAATATTTAATCTTAATTCTTCATTTAAAATTTATATAAATCGAAAAAAATATATAAAATTAATAATTTAAAATATAATAAAATTATATTTTTATTTATAATTTTTTTAAATATATTACTTAAAAAATAACGAGAATTTAGATTAAATATTTTATTTTTATATAGATCATAATATTATTTTTTAAAATATAAAGATCAAAATATTAATTATGGTTAATTATAAGGGTAGATGACAACTCCATGGACTCTAATAAGTGCGAAGCTTCATTTAAGAGAGAAAAAAAGAAAAAAAATTCAAAAGTAAAATATATTAAATTTTCCCGCTCCGAAATATCTTCTTTCCCATCCCTTTCACTCGTAAAAAAAAAAACAAAAACGTTTCGTTTACTCGCAAAGGAAGCACGGGGCCGCCGTTTCGTAGGTTACCGAGAATGGAGGTAAACAAATTGGGTTGCGTAGTCGGGCTCCAAATTATAAAACCAGTCGATAGAATCTGCGCTTCGCATATGCCTTCCCTCCTCTCTTCCCCAACAAGACCAGCACTCTTTTCACAGACGTACCTGTTTTTTAATTGGAGATTGTAACAAGAATGGGCGGGACACACCGAGGCATAGGTGGTTGGTGAAAGTGTGTGTCGCGAACTGAAATGCAACGTATTTTTGGCAGTACCATAGGCTTGCTCTCGAGCCCGCTCTCTTATCCTGTACCCTTCGTTCTTTAAACAGCGTTCTCCCTTTCCTTCTCCCTCTCCCTCTTCGTCTTCCTCTTCATCGCTCGCTCTCAGTCCCATGGCGTCGACTTCCTCTACTTTTCTCCACGCCTCCCTCTGCTCCCCCCAAACCCTCTCCTCTCCCTCCTTCCCCTTCCTCTTCTCCCTTTCTCTTCCCCAATCCCAATCCCAATCTCGCACCCTCCTCTTCAGACGACCCCTCCCCTCCACATCCCCCTCGCTATCGCCGTCCTCTTCCTCTTCATTACGATGGCTTCGCGTCTCCACTGTCCCCGTTGAGCAAGCTCCGGCACCTGAATTTGACTTCGGTGAGGAGATTGCCCACCTTGATGCTCTCCGCTCTGGCCTCCTCGCGGCGAAGAGCCTCGCGGAGCGGCTAAACGTTCTCGATGCCGATTCTAGGGTTAGGAATTTCTTTGGGCCGTCCGCGCACCCGGTCCTTGATCGGTTGGAGGCTTCCGAGGTGTTCTTGCTTAAATGCCTAGTCGCCGGCGGCCAGGAGCATGTTCTTGGCGCGGAGATGGATTGGGGCGGCCAGCTTCATCAGGCAGAGAGGAGCGCGTTACGGACAGCATTCTATGCATTGGCGGATATGATTGAAAAGTGGAGTTTGGACGGCAATGAGATTGGCGGTAATGAACGTAGCAAGCGGGACATTGGGGATATCGAAATTGACCAGCTGAAGATGCTTTTACATACTCTGGAAGAAGTCGAGGAATTCTATGATTGCATTGGAGGAATCATTGGGTGAGTTGAGTTTGTTGTTCATTACCTTATCTTTTGGTAGACTTCTATTTGTTAAGTTGGACTAGGAATGAAAGATTTACTGCAATCACTTTATACAGGATTCTTTTCCTATAAAAGTTTTCTGTTTAGCACCAGAAGGGTGAAAGAAATTGTAACTAGCAGAAGAGCAATAAAGGTGTAAGATAAAAGAATTGAAAGTATAACTCCTTTTCTTTTGGTAAACAATTGAATATTCCCTTCTCCAACAAGTAAAATACTCCTCTCCAATTGGATATATGTTTGAGTTTTCAACATGAATATATCCTCTAAATTCAAATTTTCTCTTAATAATTTATAACTTTCTTCCTCTTGGGGGAATTATTATTTAGTTCTTTCACTCGTGTGGAGAGATAAAACATGGTGTTTGTGTTTTTTTTTCTCAAAAAATAAAAGCAAGGTCTTATTTATGGATGAACATCTGATGTTTGATTCAGGTTACCTTTCCTTCCCATGATCCATTCTACTAATCTTGATATATATTCACAAGAAGATTCTACTAAACCTTTTCCAGCTGAATTAATCCTACTGACTGCCATCTAACTAACCCTACCATTTCGATTTGTAGAATCATCTGAAACGACAAAATCATCTTATAACAACCCAAATCAAACTCGGAATTTCAGATTGGACTTAGCCAATATGCAACACCTTGCCTTCGATGACCTTCATTTACTTCTCCTTTCTTTCTTTAATTTGTAAACAAAGAAGTTTGTTTCAAAGACACCTCAAAATCATGCGGACTAAGTGAGCTTTATTGCCGAGGTATTGTCTTTTGGTTGAGATATTTCTGCAGAACTTTTTTTGGCTTTATTTTGATTCCTCTATCTTTATTTCTCTAATTTCGAGCTTTTGTTTGCTTAATCAAAACCATATGTGAATTAATAATTTTTAAATTAGAAGTCTGTCATATTAAATGACATTGTATATGATGCTCACACATGGAGTTGAACCCGAAACCTGTGATTTGTGCAATAATGCACTAACCAATCGGATGTCTCAACTAAGATGAACTAAATTAAATTCAAAGATCCTCCAATAGAATATCAATGAAGATTAACCCTTTTGTGACAGTATGCAAATGTGGTAATCTGCTCTGGATGGCCTTATCGTGGGGTTGATGTTGTAAGCTTATATTTAGACATTAGGTAGTGAGATAAGATGGAGACACAAGTACTTAAAATTGGGAATCTTGTTTACAAAGGACTTGGTCTTGGACATGACCAAGTCCAGGTGTTATATGGATACTCAAGTGTTGGCTTATGATTATGGTTATGGTGAATTATTTAAAATACACAAGAATTTACAGTTTAGATAGTTTAATTTACGAAGCATTTTTCAAACTAAAGCAAAATGGGATTCCTCTTAACCATTTTAGTATAAATAATGAAGATGTTAGATGCAATATTTAAGATTTTTTTTTTAACGTTTGATGCATATATTTAAGATTTAAGACTATAGTAAAATATATTCTTTTTTCTTACTTAGGTATCAAGTAATGACATTACAGCTTCTTTCGTCCTCGAAAGTTGATGGACAGTCTATGAATTCATATCTTCACTCTTACAAGGCTCGAGGAAGTGAGAGGGTAAAGCTTCATGTTCCTAGAGGACTTGATCTTCTGGAAAATACAGAGGATGCATCTCAAGCAACTCTATGGGGAATTGAGGTTGGTAAACCTCAAATATGTTATAAATGTTTGTCCTTCTATACATTTGCTATGATAACCTTCTGAAGTTGTTAAGCAAGTTTCATTACCTCTAGGGTTTGCCGAAACTAGGTGAAATCTATCCGCTTGGTGGTGCAGGGGACCGTCTTGGTTTGGTTGACCCCAACACACGTGAATGTCTTCCTGCTGCACTACTTCCATTTTGTGGACGAACTCTATTGGAAGGTTTAATTAGAGATCTCCAGGTACAAGATGTAGATTCTTTTAATCTAAACAAGGATGTTATGCTTTTTACAAATACAATTCTTTTTGTTCTGTTTTTTTATTGTCATTTTTATTTCATTTTTTCCAAAGAAATATCATTGATTGGATTTTGTTAGTTCTTTAATTATTTTGTTGATAATTTATGGTTCATACAATTTTACAACAACACCTGCTTTAAAGCAATGTGAATCCTTATCTTTTGTACATCTGATTATTATGTGTATATGTATTAGATTTATATGATTACAGAGTTGGTGTAGTTAATATTTTTATATGAACTCATAACCGCCGATTAAGAAACAGATTATGATATAATTTTTCTCTCTTTTCTCCAGTAGCAACATTTTTTTTCCTAGGAGAGAAACCTGACCTACTATATTTACATGTTCACTTTTAGTGTATATTATGTTCTTGTGAGCTTTAACATATGAAGCAATAAAAAGCACCAAATGTTCTAGCTGTATCGGCTATAATTAAGTGGTACTTACCAACTTACCATGGTGCTGTACAATGTTTGATACAGGATGATATTTAATTCATACTAGAAGTTGTTTTCCGCTGAAAGTATTAGGGAACTTATGACATCTGTGATCTAGTGGGTAAAAGTCTTTCTTGAGGATATAGTAGTTTCATTTAATTGCCCTTATCTTTATCAGGAAATATTCTTGTTAGTATTTTAGGAAATTTTTCTGAACTAATCTATGAGTTATATTTTGTGGTGAATCCAATTTCTTTCTCTATCTTAGGAAGCATTTCAAACTCTTATCTATTACTTCTCTTCAGATGGTTCATTTTTCCTATTTAATATTTGAAAATAGATATCTTATAACCAATAAAGTGTGGACCAAGACAGTCTGCTTTACATATATATAATGGTGAAAAATTATCTTCTGTGATATATTTCTCGTGTGCATGTCTGTCTTCCTTCTCTGTTTCTTTGGTGAAAATTTACCAAAAGATCTAGAAAATAAATGCAAATAAGTGGTGGATATTTCATGTTGAACAATATATCCTCTTCTGCTTTTACATAGTGATTGTGGAGATCCTACCAAGCCAATAACTCTAGATTATTATTATTAGGCTTACATCCAGTTAATGGATTATTTTCTTTTCCAATTTGTCTTAACCAAGCAGCTATAGGTTATTTTACAGATATAATTATGTACGTATTTGAGATATGAGCTGATCAGGTTATTTTTTGTTCTTATGAGGGGTTGTTTGATTCATTGCTGCCTATATGACATCTTCATTGGCTTGCGGGAGCCAGGATGTGCTTTTAATATTATAACTGATTTACTCAACTAGAAAAGCTAATTAACCCGTGCTGAATTCCAGGCTAGAGAGTTCCTTTATTTCAAGATCTATGGGAAACAATGTATAACTCCTGTTGCAATCATGACAAGTTCAGTGAAGAACAATCATAATCACTTAATTGCACTCTGTGAAAAATTCAGATGGTTTGGGAGAAGCAAAGAAAAATTTCGGCTTTTTGAACAGGTATTTGTATTGTAATATGCTTAGTGTTCTTTAATGCAAATCTTGTTAGGATTTCAAAGTAAATGCACATAATTGTCTCCTAATGTTGCCACCAAGTCTTGTTTCACTGATTCTTCTATATATGTTATCCCACAGCCTCTGGTGCCAGTTTTGGCTGCTGAAGATGGTCGCTGGTTGATAACCAGACCACTCACACCAGTCTGCAAACCTGGTGGTCATGGCGCAATCTGGAAGCTTGCAAATGACAAATGCATATTCCAATGGTTCTATGATCATGGAAGAAAAGGTGCTACTGTTCGACAAGTCAGGTTATCTTTTTCTCTATGTATTATGTAGCGCAGAAAGTCCAATAACTAATCTTTCAAAGTTTTTATTAGTGATTCTATGTTCTCCTGCTGCAGTAATGTTGTGGCTGCGACTGACTTGACACTTTTGGCATTGGCAGGAATAGGTCTGCACTATGACAAGGTGTAAATTTATGGTTTGCTATGCTTTTAATTGTGTTGACTGTGGTGTCAACACTACTTTAGGTTTAATTGCACTTGAGAAAGAAAGACATTGATTAGGGTGTTAATAATTGCTATAGTATATGGTGAGTCCCTGCTCTAATTTTAATTAGAATGTGAAGCATTTGGAACATTCAGAGGAGCTTCTTTGTGCAATGTTAAAAGGGCTGCAGCCAAGCACCAGTAATGACCATTCTTGGTGCTGCTCAGTATATTTGTTATTATTATTTTTTTCTAGTGATGTCATCTAGTACTAGGTTGATATCACAAGGTGGACTAGAACTCTTTGGGTTCAATTACTTATTGTAATACATCCTCCAAGGACTTTGACTATCGATATTTTGCTACAAAAATTGAGGTAGGCTGATATTTCTAAAAAATTGTTGGAAACTCTAGTGATGTTTCTAAATTAGCTTAACTTTACCAGAATGAAGTGACTTTTTTCTTGAAATTGGCTTGGCTACTACCTGAGTGCCTATGCTGACACCTAGATCAGTGATTTCAATAGGCGCTTGGGCGCTCGCCTAGGCGCTCAGGCAAGGCGAGGCCTAATAGCCTCGTTTCATTTCTAGGTGATACGCTTCAAAGAGGCGCCGCTTGGGCGCTCGCTCGAGCCCAGGCGTCGGGCGCTTCGGGCGAGCACCCGAGTTAAACCAGGTGACCGAACCAGCATTTTAGGTCTGGTTCAGTCTCTAGTGCTTTAGTTGGTTCAATCGAACCAACTAAAGCACCGATATCAGCCTTCCTCTCGCGACTTCCCAACCCTAACCTTGCTCGCCGCTCCCGCTCTCGCTGCCGCTGCTACCGCTGTCGCTGCCACTATCGCCGCCCCCGCTATCGCTACCGCTGCTCGTTTCTACCGCTGTCACTACCACTGTCGCCACTCCTGCTCTCGCTGCCCGCTTCTACCGCTGCCACTATCGTCGCTCGTCGCTCCCGCTCTCGCTATTGTTGCTCGCTGCTACCTCTGCCATTGTTGTCACCCGCCGCTCTCAGTCCCGCTGCTGTTGCTTGCTACTATCACTGCCACTGTCGTCGCTTGCCGCTCCCGCTCCCGCTACCACTACACTCAGTCAGTAGCCTCGATCTTCCTCTTACACTCTTCTCACTTCATATACTGTTAATAGTATATTAACAGTATACTACTAACTATATACTAGTAACAATATTTTTATTTATTAGATTAATAATATATTATTTTGATTTTAATACTATTAATTTTTATTTATTTGAAATTATTGTTATTTTTTTAAATTTTGAGACATTTTTGTTAATGTGATATTGTAATTTTACAAGATTTTCTTAATTTAATATCATATTTTTATTTAAATAATTATATTTATTAATTATATTATATATTTTTATATTTTAGTACCTCGTTTCGCTCGGGCGAGCACCTAGGTGAGCGCTTAGCGTCTCGGGTGTTTTTGGACCTTGGCGCCTAGCGCTTTTTAAATCACTGATCAAGATTATTTGACTATGTGGATGACTTAAATACATGATAATTAGTATACTTAGTTTCTTATGAGTAAAATAATGATCACTTTTTCTATTCTTTTATTAGTTTGAGTTACTAATTTATTTAGACACAAGAATTATCATTGAATATACATTTTTTCCTGACATTTGAAGTGCTGCAGAAATTAGGTTTTGCTTCCTGTCAGCGAAACTTAGGAGCAACAGAAGGAGTAAATGTGCTTGTTGAGAAACACAACCATGACAGGACATGGTCTTATGGTATTACATGTATTGAGTACACTGAGTTTGAGAAGTTTGGCATTATGGATAGGCCTACTTCTTTTGATAGGTATGCTCTCTATTTGCGACATGTATTGTAAAAAAAGGATGACTTACTTCTGTTATATTTATTTTGTGAAAATTTTACTCAGTCAAATTGCTCTTCATGTTGAGTTACTGGATTTGGAGTGGAGAATAATATTGTTATTTTTTTTATTCCTTCTAAAGAGGGAAGATGTAGTTTCTAAATGTATTATTAATTTTCATACATATAAAAGTAAATTTACTGGCTTTTGGGAATTTGCTTCTTTCTTCCATCAAGTAGGGCCATCCATCTGGTGACCTTCTTGAACATTTGCATACTATGTAGTAGTTAGGCCTTCTACCTAGGTAGTCCTAGGCATCTGACTTTCTTAAAACCTAAATATCAAATTCTATATACGTGACACCCAGTTTAGTCCTACATCAGATAAGGGAGGAAAATTAGATTGTTGATTGGTCTACTATCATTAACTTGGGCCTAAGCGTTTTGGATCAATAATTAGGTTCATAAAAAATAGATGAGTCTGTCATTATCAATTTGGACTTTAATCATTTTGTATCAATGATTCAAACTAATAAAGTTAATAAGTTAGTTGTCCTATTAGTTTGAATTTGACAAGATATCATCTAAAGCATTTATAGTTTTGTACTATATCTTATCCATGTATCTATGTGATGGCTTTGTTTTTGTTCATTAAGCACCTGTTTTTGAAACTCGATAATGATACTTAAAGTAATTTTAAACCATTAGAAGGTAGTTGAACTTTTCTGGCAAACATTCTAGTAATTTGGAAGAAGCTGATCTAGCATGTAAGGGATTCATAAGAATTTAATTTATAAAACTATTAATGGAAAAGGCTTTGTCAGGATTTATTCTTGGCACTCTAGTAAATGGTCATCATATCTTATGTATAAGCCTGGAGCTGTTGGGAGGAAATTGCTCTTTACTTACTGAGACACACCTCTGTGGTTTGATCGAAATAATGAATGACTACTTTGATCCTTTTCAAAATACATTCAAGCTGTCATTTTTGTTGTTTATTTTGTTCTTACTGACATCATTAGTGACCTCTGATGCATAAGATTTTATTTGCAGAATTAGCATGTTGCTACTGGTAGCGAGTCGTGTATTTCTTCTCATTATTCTTCCTGGATTATCTCCATTCCATATATTATTGGGGTATCATTTTGGTGTTTATTGTTCCTTCATTGTGATTTAGCTTGCAGCCTCAGTTTCCAGCAAACACAAATATTCTTTATGTTGATCTGAAATCTGCTGAAAAAGTTGGATCTTGTCGGGGTACAAATTGCTTGCCAGGCATGGTATTGAATTTGAAAAAGCCAGTTTCATATGTGGATCATCTTGGTATTCAGCATAGGTACAAATTCTCACAAAAAGTATCTTATAGATTTGTCAGTTAATGGTTCTATGTTAGATTTACTTACTATTGATCACCCACTGATGGAATAGCTTTTGTCTTATGAATAAGTTCATTGCTATACAATGCAGTGTCACAAATTTTGAGAATTTAATTGGCAGTGTGAATTTGATTACTTCAAAGCTTGCTCATGAACTGAAATGATATTGTTTTTCATCTCCCTGTCTTTTCTTGCTTCTCCTTATATTTGAAACAAAGCATTCTTTATGTTGTATTGCATCTTCAATGAACTACCTGACTACTGTTTGCTAATTTATTTTATGAGTTTGCAAGGCAATTTCTTAATTGTATATTTGTTTTAAATTGTCTTTCCCAGAATTGTACAATTAGACACTTACAAGAGCCAAATGTTGATTTAAGTGTATAATAAATATATTATTTCCACAAAGGAAACATTGCACAGAACAAGAGCCATCAATTACTTCATAAAATGAGGCATATTTTTGTAGTCTACTCCTGAAAAGCTTCTAAGAATCTTGGGGGAATGATATAAAGTATAAGAATTATGTAGTGCTGAATGTTAAGAACCATATCTGCTTTCTGTCCTAACCTCAACTGTAGGGATTACCTCATGTTATCTGGTTGCTGCTCTTATCAATTGTTAGTTCCCTAACCTAGATAGGCCTTCATGAGCTGCTTTTACCAGAGAGGAGGAAATGTTCAAAATCATATTGAAGTATATGTACATTTGTCAAATTCTCATGCAATAATGTCAGGGCATGACCAATACCAAACGATCTGAATATCACACAATGTATTTTTAATAAATGTATAGAATATGTCTTCATTGTTATTGAGCTATCCAGGATAGTTTGCTACTTTGCTGGACTAGAAATGTATAATCTCTTTTGCCTATGACCATATTCCTTTATAGGAATAATGCATGTGTCTGAGTATTTGTTGTATTGTTATTTTTGTATTGATCTTGTTTTGGCATGAGTATAATACTTAGGATTCTCTAAAGTCAATCAGTCATACTAACATATGAGATGATCCTTGGGTGGACAATATTCCTTTTAAAAAATGACAAGCATTCGTCAACATGGATGAATGATAAATTTTACTTATGTTTTTGAGTTAATTTTGGATAATAATTAGCTGTATAATATACATTTGCTTTTCAACTTGGATACTGTAGCTTGGATGTTTGCATACAATTAATTGACTTGATGATGACTACTGGGTTTGGGCTTCTGAGTTGTTATCATTGCATCATTAACATGAAACATTGTTAACCTATTAAATAAGGAGAAATGTTTCCCACTATCAGATCTTGCAACACAACTTATGTTTTATTAAGGGCTTTTTAATATACCATTTTTGAATTTTTTATGCTCATTTTCTATTAAATGAATATAGTACATCGCAACGATAGTCTACATAAGAAAAGCATTTACATGTTTTTATTAGGGACTGATGGTCCATGCCAAATGTTTTCATGATGGGCAATTCATTTTTTGGCGTTTCATAATGGCTCCATCCTTATTTACCCCTCTATCCTTTTCCATGTTGCAGTGCATTTGGAGGTAGGCTAGAGTGTACGATGCAAAATATTGCAGATAACTTTCTGAATACTTGTAACACTAGGTGCCTGGGAGACATTGAATGTACGAGGTCATTATGCTTTTGTTACCATCCTAGGACATAATCTTGTCTGCCTTTGCTTGGTTTTACTAAGGAGCTTTAAATCATGTTTTCTATTTACAGCTGTTCTCGATACATTCATTGTATATAATGAAAGAAAAAGGGTCACTTCATCAGCCAAAAGGAAAAGGAAACAAACAAGCAATTCATTGCATCAGGTTTGTGAAGCTTAAATACTAAAATAAATTCACAATAACTTATTGATTGATGAATTTCTCTTTTGACATTTTTTGTTAGTTATTAATAACAATTAAGGTGGCATGCATTATCAAACATGCATCATACTCTAGGGTGTAACACTTGCATGCAATAATGACAAACATGACCAACAAGAGCTTCTGTTTATTTGATTGGTTTTCTGAAGTGGAGCAAAGTTATGATATCTTTCCCACTAACGACTCCTTTTTGAACCTAAGACATATCCAAAATTTATTTGTTCTTTCAAATTTGAGTCTGAAATTCAACTACCTCTTTAATACTTGTTCATGTGCAGACCCCAGATGGTGCGCTTTTGGATGTCTTGCGGAATGCTTATGAACTTCTCTCATCTTGTGATATAGAAATCCCCAAGGTATTTCATTCTAGTTAAGATTTAATCTTGATTAGCACTGGATTCTTGCTGTAATTAAAATCATATGATTTTTTTTCTTCATCCAACTGTTGTATTTCTATAAATCTGTTGTGTTATTAATATGGTCCTGCAAGCACTTGCATTAACAAATGATTGGACCTGGTTGTTCTCCATACTCCATGCCCTTGATATTTGTTGAAGTGTCAATTGCCTTAAGACATTCATTGGCATTGTCTTTCTTCTGGAACTTCTGTTGTATGGACCAGCACCCTCTTATAAATGAACAGAAGTACTAGCTGCAATGGCGGCAATCAAATATTGGTTGCATGTGTCTTCTTAGATGAACACTTCAAGGTGGACAAGGTTTGTTTTGAACCAATACAGTGGCTGTTTGTTTTTAGTTAGCACCACTTGATGCCTATCAATTGTGTCCTATCTTTTAGTTTCACAACTGACATCTTTGGTCTGATTGAGAGTTATACTTGTCTTGGATTTGTGTCCACGTGTTAGTTTTACTATCCAAAAAAGTTACATCTTCTATGCCAACATATAGATAGACTTTCAATCAAGGTATGCAATACCGTACCGTACTGATGTTTCAAGGTTGGCTCGGTATGGTACGGTACCAGTGTATCGAGTGGTACACCAGGGCATACCGAATGATACATCAGGGCTTACCGAGCGATTTCCTCTTACTGTAGCACTGTAGCACTGCTACAGTGTAACACTGTAGCACTATAGCACGGTCCATCCGGTAGCAGGCGGTCCGCGTACCGGTATGCCGTCGGACCGGTACGTATCGCCTGTACCGGGCGATACCATTCGAAATTGCATACCATGCTTTCAATGCTACAACTTGATTCCATATACTTAGTTATTGGAAGGTGAAGCTTTAGCATCACCGTGAAATCAATCCTTTTTGGTTTGAGTGAGCAAGGTTTGTGTCATGAAAATGGTATCTCTACTTGCATATCGCTATGAACATTGATCTTCTTTGACCTAGTGGGAGTCTCATGCACTAGGATATTCTTTTGGCACTTTGTTACTATCTTACGAGCGTTACCATGGATATTGAAATAGCCTGACACTTTATGTCCATAGTAATACTTATCATGAGAAAAATCGTTTAGTTGCTGGTTTTAGTTGAGTCCTCTCTTACTAGTACCTATTACTATTTAGTGTTTGAATTAAAATGTCACCAATTATCACATTGCAATACAAATCTTGCATATGTGTAGTACTTTGTATTTTGAGAGTGGATGAGTTTTTAGTCGTTTGTTTTTTCGCACAATATATTGGGCAAGTACCAAATATTTGGATTCTTGAGTATAGTCCATGTATGACTTCTCAGCATTTCTTCAGCTTATCACATTCGAGCATTGACATCGTGTAAAGACATCACCTTTTTCAATCCTATCCTAGGATGAAATGGGCTAAATAGCCATGTCTCATGCTAATTAAGTTATCAAAGTTATGTCATAGTAGGGCCATTTTTTTCATAAAAAGTAATGCCTATCTGTGTTATTGCCTATTATCATATCTATCTATTTAAAATATTTTCATAATTAAAAGGAGAAAATGAGTTCATTTGATATTTTGCAAATCTTGGTGTATCCTTTATTAGGTATGTTTTGGATATGTTACATTGGAGGATATTTCTTGGATAAATATAAGATAAATAGTTTTATAATTTTTAAAATAATTATTAAAAGGATCTTATGGGTGTTTCAATGAGAATTTTATTTTTAAAATATTATTCATATAATTTTTAGACGAGATGGATAGACAACTAGTATGTTTCTTTATTCCACTTTTATTTATCATCAATTCATGATTACAGATTTAAAATAATGGATTGTGTTATATATCTACTTGTCAAGCTTTGTCTCATACAATAATATGTTTGTTTTTTTTTTTACTTGCATCCTGGTGTTTTTCTAAAAGACTAGGCATATTGAAGTATCTGTTCTTTGTAATTCGTATGCTATTCCAGTCTCCATGGTTTGTGGTGTGGCAACCAAGTACAATACATACATAATCTTTTAAAGAAACTTTAATATTTTTAACTTTAAAAAATAATATATTGTAGGATGCAAATAAAAACATAAACATATTATTGTATTTGCCAAAACTTGACGAGCAGATATATATAAATTATTAATTATACAACAATATTATAACATAATACCTTAAGAAGACAAAAAAGACTGAAAGATATTTGATAAATAAAGAAAGGTCATGATTTTAAATCTGTAATCATAAGTTGATGCTAAATAAATTTAGAATAAGAAAATATATTTAGTTGTACATTCATCTCGTCTAAAAAATAAATGAATAATATTAAAAAAATGAACTTCTTCTACAAGCACCAATATATGTCTCCTAGAAATACCCTACAATATATTCTAGCCAACACATGCCTACCAACAAGGATACACCAAGATTTTTGAAATATCAAATGGATTTATTTTCTCCTACTAGAAAAAACCAAGGTTATATATCCTTTAATCAACATCTAACATTTCATCAAAATATCTTACGATATAATAATTAAACTCCTATTTGTGGGGTTTGGTAGAAACCTCGTTACAGAAGGTTTTTGAAAAGGAAAAATACAACATATCTTCTATGATTGGATTTTGTTCTCTCTAGTTGATTGATCTTCTTATTGAGATCTTTCTTTTTTTAGTTAAATTTTCTAAAAGTTTCATGATTTGAATTCTCTTTGAAGTATGAAATATACACTGTTCCTTCTTGTATTTGCTGACTTCCTTTTCAATGCAGATCTGATTTGGATTTGAATCCAAGATCTCTTGGTTTAGGAAATAGTCACTCAAAACATTTCGTTAATCTAAATTCTAGAATAATATACAATAGTTCCAGTAAAATCTCAGTCAAGCGACACGTGTAAATGGCAATGTCCCTACTAGAAGCCTTCTAGATAGGTTTCTAAGGCCTAACTCAAAATAACTAAATTTGAGACAGTGATTCAATATGAGCTAAAATCTGAAATCAAAATCAATACAAAATTGAACCAAGTGTCAATTCATATTCATGGAATCTGGATACTTACTGAAAACCAACAAAAAATCATTGAAAATATAGAAATTGTCAAATCAAGACCTTGACTTGCTTAATTAAATCAAGCAATCTGGAGTTGATCTTGGAGTCATTTTTGCATCAATGGCATTTGGCACCATAATACATAACTTGATAATCAGGGTTCAAGTCACTAAGGTTGTGGGACTAGAATTTACTTCAATGTTTTGCCATCATCTTATTTTATATTTTTTAAGTTTTAGCTTGTAAAGTTTCTCGTGTTATTTCATACTTTCTCCATTACATGGGTGTCGATTTGTAAAGCTGACTAGTCTTAGTTTGGCTCATTGCCGCTCCTCAGTGCTTTAAACATCAAACCAACTTGAGAAAATAAAATTTTGTTTTTACTGAAAAAAATTTATACTCCAATATAATTTGTTCTGTTGTGCTTAATTCCTTGGTATTAAATTTCTTTTGCTGATTTTCTCAGATTGAGGACAACAGCATATACTTCAATTCTGTGCCCCCATTTCTTATTTTTCTCCACCCTGCTTTAGGTCCACTTTGGGAGATTACTAGACAAAAGGTATGCACAATGATTGATCTAAAATCTCAGTAGCTCTAATTTTATCCTTTAGTTTTTACATGATGTGCTCATGTTAGATATGATTGGGTTCTATGGCAATATATAATGACTAAATCATTGTATTCTAATTTCTTGGGTTGTAAAAAATATCAAAATAGTATGAGATTTTCTGTATGCTTATTTGGACCTGTAGGAAAATTTACAGAAATGAATCAATGAGTTATCATGTGTTGACTGTGTGATGGAAGTGAAAGTATTACCTCTGAGCATGCTACTATAGTGGGTTATGCTTCATATATCTTATGATAAATTAAGATTGATTTAACAGTTGGATGTGAATTTAATATTCTTGCACCTCCAGAGGACTAAAACATGAAAGCAATACGGGATAATAGCTTCCTTGGTTTTTAGATTTTCTGTTGGTGCTAAATATAATAGTGATCTAATTGTATTCACTGCCTTGTATTATATATATCAACATCATCAGGAAGAAATAAATTTATTTGGTCTGTAAGTTTTCCCAAAGCTACCAATTTTGTATTGAAACAATAAAATGTTTCCGAACAGAATTAAATGTTATGTTTGATTCTTGAAGAAGTGATATGTCTCAGTGTGCAATTAATTTGTGATGTCACTTTCACCTATAATGTTTATGAAGTATTACGAACTATCTTGTTCCACAAGTCTGATTTTTCCTTTTTCAGAGTATGTTTTAACCAAGGTTCACAATATCGTACCGTACCGGTATTTCGATCTGGGCTCGGTACCGGTACGGTACGGTATACCGAGCAGTACACCCAGGTGTACCGAGCGGTACACTCAAGTGTGACGAGTACTGTAGCACTGTAGCAGTGCTACAGTGCACTCGGACCGGTAACAGGCGGTCCGCGTCCCGACAACCTGTCGGACCGGTACGTACTGCCCGTACCAGGTGGTACAGTTTGGTACTGCAGACCCTGGTTTTAACTCACACCATGCTTTGTGGGAATTTTTATTAAGCATATTCTTGTTCTCTGACTGTGAAAGACTCTTTTCATACCAAAAAACAATCGCATTCATTCAAGGTTCTACCAGTTTTTTTTGTCAGTTAGGAAATTGGATCAGGTATATATTCTCTTTGGAACATTTTCTGAGAAGTCAATGTTGTGGATTAGGGTCTAACATGCATTTGCCACTTTCTTTGGTTGTCATTAGTTTTTCTAGGATTCACAGATATAGACTATTTTGTTGAAGTAGAGCCATGTGCTCAAATTAAGTATGCATATGTGAATTTCTGTCGGAATATTAATTTAATGTGGTGGTTGCCAACTATATATACTCTTCATTGAAAAAATCCATGATCATTCTTTCTTATTATTATGTGTAGCTTTGTCTTCCAATTGCCATTCTTCCTGACTAGGAAGGGCAAACATAGTCAACTAGCATTACTGTTCTTTCTTATTATTCTATCTTTTGCCTTTAGTCCTTTGAAGGTATAAGAAAAAGTGACAAATTTTAGAGTGAGCTGCTTTTACAAGTGATACTCAGAAATCACATGAAGGCTAAAAACAATGTCTGCACTAATGGTGCTGTCCAAACTTTACGTTCTGATACAGTGTAAACTTCCTGTCCTGTCAAAAATTAGATATTTGCTCTCTATCTTATGCTAAAAACAATGTTGCATGAGGGCATGACTAATATCAGTCTTTGACACTTCAAGATAATGCATTTAGTGATGTAATAATTTAATTTTAGCTGATCTTGGTTCTGGTTCTAATCTTTTATTTGTGATGATTTGAATAACTTTCCTAGGTTAGGCTCTTCTTTTGACTAATCAATTTGCATAAGTTTCAGTCCATGTCGATCACCACCTGGAGTTTAGTGTAAGGTCATGTCAGCAAGTGCCCTAAAAGGTGTATTTTGAAGTTGCAATTAGGATGGGAAAGTAGCTTACATACCCTCTCATTTCATCCTGACAACTGAGGTAAGACTATATAAAATACAGCAACCTTACTAAATAAATTAACACAAGCTTTGCTTCTCAAATCCCTATTAACCATCTGATGAGTTCTAGAACCTTTCGTTATAGATTATATGTAGGAATAGTTGTTAGCCTGTTTGACCTTATTAACTAGAATAATGAATCCATTTATAGAGATAGATTTAGGTGAACATATTTCACAATTCTCATGGCCCAAATCATGTGGCTTTTTGTCCTAAAAAAATACTCAATGTATGTCCTTGGAGGGGATATTGAGTTTCACAATTTCTCACAAATCTACATCGATGTGGAACTATCAAGGGCATCTGCTGAATAATTCATTAGGATTTTGCTTCTGGGAAGCAGTAGTTTTCAGTAATGAAGAAAGATGCTATACTTTAAAGGTTTCAAGTTTATGTTTAGTCTTATTTTATGAGTCAAAGTAATTATGGATTATCTTTTTGTAACTTATGCAGTTCTATGGTGGTTCTATTTCTGAAGGTTCTGAGTTGCAAATAGAGGTAGCAGAATTTGTTTGGAGAAATGTGCAGGTACTTGTGACCTTATACCCTTGTTAAAAAGTCATTGTACTTGATAACCAAAATTGTATTTGGATCTCAGCTCAGTGGAAGCCTTATTATTGTTGCTGACAATATAATGGGCTCAGCAAGGATGAACCAAAACAATGAACCAGTACTGCACTATGGACAAAGGTATGACTGATTGTTTTGTAGTATTAAGATTTCAGAGCAGAACATTTAGCTAACATTTCACTTCTACTGGTGGAAGATGTGCAAGATGTAAGCTGCAAAATGTTAAGGTTTTAAATAGAGGAATCGACTGGATGTCCTCAGAAAATGTCTACTGGAAGCATGATGTTCAAAGATTAGAGACTATGAAAATCATTCTTCATGGAAACGCAGAATTTGAGGCAGTGGATGTTGTCTTGCAGGTACAGTTGGCTGACAATCAGCAGAATAATTTGTGTATTCACATTGAATATTGACTTTTTTTCATGCAGGGAAATCATGTTTTCGAGGTTCCAGATGGTTACAAAATGTGTATCATTCCAGAAAATTCAGGTCTATAAAGTTCACCTGATTTATTTGCTGGCATGGTTTTCCATTATCCTGTTTGAGACTTGCGATATGTAAAATCACGTATATGCATTATTGCTTTGTTGTAGTCCTAGTTTCAAGCTTTATAGAATGTTTTTTAAGACCATCTCTGAGTTATTGTGCTTGTTCCCAACATGCAAGCCCAAAGTGAATCTGAGCTTGCAATACCAAAATATAGACTGCTGACATTAACCTGCATCTATATGTGATTCAGGTTTCATGATTAGGTTAGATCCCATTAGAGAAGATGAGATGGAAACTGGTAGCTGGTTCTGGAAGTATGAGATGAAGGGCACGCATATTAACTTGGAAATGGTAGAGTTATAGTCTCTCAGACCCTGTAACTCGGTCATTGATATGCAGTTGTTTGACACAGTTCATCTTCTCATTGATTCATTAGTTCAACCTAGGTTGAACATCTTGTATGTAATTTCTTCGATAATGTGCATCCATCCCAGTTTTCTCTTGATATTTTTTTTTCTTTTCTTCATATTTATATTTATTCTAATTTAATGTATTGAATTTGTCACAAGTTACTAATTGTATAAGATTCAACGGATAGTTTTTTTGCATCTTGACATCTGTTTGATTGTATTTAGTTGAATCTATGTGGATTAAAGATCTGTGAAGAAACAAGTTGCAGTCTCATATTAGTTGTCATTTAAAAGTTCCATTCTGCAGTGTTAACACTACTTATTTTACTTCAATAGTCGGGATGGAAGCATCAGATGAACAGACTTAACAAGCTTAAAAATGCAGTGAGTTGAAGCTTGTTCTGGTTTATGATATGTTGGCACCATGTTGACAACATGTTAGATTTATATGGCTTACATGCTAAGGTCAGATGGTTGACATCTCGATATTACATGGTTGATACTTCTGCTATGTATCTAATATCTCAGTGTCATGCAGGAGACATCTTTGTTATTATATAATTTTTACCTTAGTGTTGGTCTTATCATGTTCCATTAATCGTTCACACCCCATCATAAAATTTGTGCTACATATCAAAGTGTTACATCATCTCGGACTCGGTGTGGATTAGCGATACTTATATCTAAAATCAAATACAACATGTTTCTAAATTTAATACATCATTACCATCTCAAGGTAATGACTTAGGGAACTAATTATAAAAAGAGGAGGGGGTGGGGGTGTTCCATAAGTATGCCCAAGTCACATAAACTAGGAATATATTTGACCTGTTAGATTAGTTTAGTGACTTGACTTAAGTATCGGATGGGCTTTGTCAAGAATGCGGTAGGAATCCGATCAAATTGGTGAAGTTTGACTTAAGAAAAGATTATGAATCAGCTTCCATTGTGGACAATCAAAATATAACTTAATAGTTGGGCACTAAAAAGAGAATTGACCAAAATAAAAATATCTTAAGGAAACTTTGTTGAACCGTCTCGATTGAATCCCGAGGACTAGAGTCTGTCAGCCTCGAATGCCAACACCTGGGTTGCTCAAGGTGTCAAGTGAACCAGCTCCTCCAACACTCCAATTCCTTGATCCCTCACTACTCAACCAACCACTTCCTCCTTCATGAAACCTTGCACAATTTGATGTAACAAGTGCAAGTCTTAACTAGGATAGTTAAAACTATGATCTTACACCTTCCTCAATTAGCATAGGCGGCACAGCAAGCACCACCTATCTCATCTGCACCATGATTCCTAGCTCTAGCTCCATCACTTATTCTAGTTCCCAGCCTCACTGTCTAAGTCTTGATCTATTCGAGCGCTGCACCCTAAAAAGCACACTCCCCTTAACCTGGCCAAATTCCAAACCCTCCACCAAAGCCAAAATCTAAAAATGAGTCAATAGGCCAATCGGTTGAACTCCCCTCTAATGTCAGAGACCATCTCAATGAGATGGATTAGAAGTTGGAAGAGATCCCTAAGGAAATAAGACAGGGGAAGTAGCCAAAAGCTGTGCCATACCTACAGTTTCATTTCATAAAGGATATAAATAGGGAGCCAATTCCCTAGGGGTTTCGGTCGCCAACCCTAGATTTATATGACGGGTAGTCTGATCTCTCAGAGTACATGGTGGCATTCACTTCCAAGATGATACTTTATGGAATCACAAACTTCCTCATGTGCCAAACCTTTCTCATAACCTTGAGGGGCACTACACTAGAATGGTTTGCCAAACTCTCTCCTAAATCTATCTCTTTATTTGGCCAGCTAACAAGGGAGTTTAAACTTAAATTCGTTAACTATAAGCTCCCCAAGAAACCCATAACTTCCCTCTGGCCATTCGTTAAGAAGAAAAAGAATTATTAGATAGCTACATACGAAGATTTAATCAGGAAGTCAGATGGTCATAGATCCAATAACTTTTGTCCTCATCAATGATTACATCAATGACTTTCAGCCTTCAAGATTAGTTTATAAAGTTATCACTCATTGCCAGAGTTGCTACAAGATGCTAATCACCATATTATCATGAAGTCCATAATTATTGGAAAGGGAAAGATCGAACTAAAAAAGTCAACAAAGAAAGATAGGTCAACATCAGCATCCACTAGAAAGGTCACAAAGTGATTGGCTGAGGGGCAACCGCATTCCCCCAGATGAGATTTTACATCATTAAACATGTCTTATACAAAGGTGTTTATGTTGATATGAGAAAAGGGACTCCTTCGTACACCTCATCCCTTTAAGGGCGCTTGTGACGAGAATGAATTAGTCTAAGTACTATCGCTTACATCACACTAAAGACCTTACATCACACTAAAGACTATTGCACCTTGAAAGATTAAATTAAAGAGCTAATCCAAAGAAGTCATCTCAATAAATTCCTTCACTAGGTCTATGAGACATCACTAAGACCCCGGGGCCCCATCGAGTAACAGATAGATATGATCATTGGTAGAACAATCGTTGTTGAAAAATATGGGGTAGCATCATATGCACAACAGAAGAGCAGAAAATAAAATCCTAGAATTTCTCGCAAGAAAAGAATGTTTGATTGTCGTGCAAACATTGGTGTGCAAAAACCTATAAAATAAAAAATAACACGTATAAGAAAGATGTGTTACCTAGGGAGATCGTATATCCTTGAAAACCTATAGTTCTTTGAGAGAGGATGAAAGACATCATTATAGGGAAATCTAGGGGCGACATCACATGCGTAGTAGAAGAATAGAAAACAAGAATCCCAGATTTTCACAAAAAGGTTTTATCATCATGCGAAGATTAGTGCTCAAAAACCCACGAAATTGAAAATCACGTGTAAGATAGTTGTGTTATCTAGAGTGATCGTATATCTCTAAAATTTTACAGATCTATGAGAGAGGATGAAGGAGGTCAAATGTTCTCCTCTCTAGCGGTGATCCATACGGTAGGGGCTGTGAAGACGCTCCTCGAATCGCTGCCCAAATCTCCATATGCCTCTATTAGAGGGAGAAGGGGAGAGGAGAATATAACTTGGCAGTCAAAAAGGCCCAACCTATGGCCCTTTAGTTTCCTCCTATTTATAGAGGTCCCCTATCAACTTAACCCTAATGGATCCTACAATATTGGGTATTGGATCTCCATCCAACTACCCAACACCTACAATATGTGTGTGACTCTCTAGGCCCAATATCGAGCTGACCGCAAGTCATACTTGTTAGAACTCCTTATAGCTTAGTAAATTATTATCTCTATAGTAATTCTTTCGACTCATCGACTATGGACGTACTAGGCCACTATGCCGTAGTCCCCAAATGATATAGGAGAATCCAATCTATTATACATATATGTCCTTAGTTACTGTATACTTATAGTCCCTCATCCATCTAATATCTCAAAGATCATATACTAGGCATGGTGTTGTCAAGCCCATATAGTTTTTACTCGAGTCTCGCTCTAATCAAATTCTCCCAAATAACTATTTCTCTCTCAATCCGAATGACCCTGGTCAGGGATTTATTTGAGCAAGAACACATGAGATATTTCTCTCATATCACTAAGAGCGGATGATCTTCTATCGATACTGAATAACCTTCGTAAGGTTGGCTGCCACTCCCGATGATCAGTTGTGCTAGATCTGAAACTTCCAAGTCTATAAGTTCAGTATCAAAGATTGGAGTACTTATACAGGATATCCATGTTGTCTGAAGTCTAAAGACCAAAAACACCACTAGGATAACAGAATCATTATCTGACAATGAGACATTATCAACCATCCAACATTCCATGAGTGGATCAATTAGTGAACTCATTCTCTAATGAGCACCTGCACTATATCCCTAGTGTCCCCACACGAGCCGCTATGAGACCAGCCACCATCATATGGATGGGTATACAGTATAATAGTCTGTCTAGTTATCTCGATGTCCCTCTCGAGTAATCTATAACTAGGATTATTTAGGGTTTGTGTTTAAAGACGAATCGTTCTCATTATCGTAATCTCATCACGATCTGATTCTCATTGCATAGATCCATAGACATCACATTATATTTATAATAAATAATATAAAGTGAGAAAATATCATAATAATAAGCAGTAAATAGAGTGCATGTCATGTCACATGTGCCATCACTCACGTGATTGGCTTGTAGGATACCTATGACTAACAATCTCTCACTTGACCTAAAGTCAATCAACTATATATTAAATCCCCATCAGACCCCTGTGATACTCAAAGATAGTCTAAGACAATGACTTTGTTAGTGGATCTATGATGTTATCTTCAGATAAAAGTCTTTCCACTACTATATCTCCTCAAGCTACGATCTCTCTAATAAGCAAGAACCTCCTCAAAACACTTCTGATAAGACTCAAGTTCTCTTATTTGAGCAATCGCCTTGTAGTTGTCGTAATATAAGGGAATTGACTCCTTATTACTCGGCACGACTCTCAGATCTACGATAAACTTCTTTATCTAAACTCCCTCCTTTGTTGGCTTTGTTGCAGCAATGTACTCCGCCTCTACGGTTGAGTTAGTAGTAGTATCCTACTTGAAACTCTTCCAGCATACTACTCCTCCATTCAAGGTGCACACATACTTTGAATTATACTTGCTATTATCGACATCGAACTAGAAACTCGAGTCTGTATAGCCCTCAACTCTAAGGCTACAATCTCCATATACCAATAAAAGATCCTTAGTCCTTCTTAAGTACTTAATGATCTTTTACAACTTTCTAGTGTTCCAAGCTTGGATCTGCCTGATACCTGCTCATGACACTTAGAGCATGTGCTATATCAGGTCCGGTATATAGTATAGTATATATGATAACCCTATCGTTGAGGCATAAAGTATCCTATCTATGTTTGCCCTTTCTTTAAGAGTCTTTTGGGATATACTCCTAGAAAGCGATGTCTTATGTCTTATCGGTATAAGACATCTCTTGAAATTTTCTATACTAAACCTTTTGACAATGGTGTTTATGTACCTAGACTAGGCAAGCTAAGCATCCTCTTGGATCTATCTCTATAGATTTGAATTCCCAAGATGTACGATGCTTCCCATAAGTCCTTCAGAGAGAAATGTTTAGATAACCAAGCCTTTACTATGGAGAGCATTCTTACATCATTCCCAATGATCAGGATGTCATTCACATATAACACCA